GGAAATTCAAAAACAAACAAAAAACAAAAACTAGTGTTTACGTACACACATGTATTGTTGATTCTTGCACTCGAGAATCTTCTACAACTTTAGTGAATAGGCGGGAATTTCGCAATATAGATTTAACAGTATAAGTTATGTACATTTCTAAATATAAAGTTAACTTAAACAGACATTGATATTAAAATAAATATATAATAATAAATCCGTCACGACGTCTCTAGCTATTTATTTTCTCACGAAGAACATAGGGGGGGGGGGAAGATTTAAGTCTTAAGCTAACCGGGATAGTGTTATAAAGAATTCATTACAGAGATTAATAATTTCATTCTTCTTTTTCCCCAGTTGTTCTGCTCGACACGACAACAGAAAGTTCTCTGGACTGGACAAGATATCCATATGGACCACAGGCTATAACTCCTGGAGTGAGTATTGGGGTTTGCTTCTGATATTGTTGTTGCTAAATATATGGAAATAATGCGTAAAAAGATTATGCATCAAACATATTATCAACCAAATGAACAACATTACGAAACGTACGAACAAAAAGGGGACCCTTTGATCTTTGTACACCCAATTAACTTTAAAAGAAACGAAATCATCGAATCCCATCTTATATTCTTGTAAAATGCTGGCCTCCATTACTGCCGACGGCAACCCATTCCATAAATCAGTCACTCTCTTAGAAAAATAAAACTGTCTTAAATAGCCTGTCTTTTCCAAATCTTAAACTAATGTCCTCTCGTCCTATATTGCTAGCAGAGTATAGTACGAATAAGTAAGAAGCCTTTATAATATCGCAACCACGGATAACCTTATTAACTTCATTCCCATAAACTCTTACTCAAACTGAAAATAAGTTACTATATCTTATCCTATCCCTATGAGATAGTCCCCCAATGGTAAATATGCGAGCTTATAAAGCTAGAAACCAGTTTTCAGTACCAGCGGTGGCCAGAGCATAAATAGCCTGTAGTTTTGTGCTTAAGAACAAGAAAACCCTATATGATTTAACCTTTCATCCCGGCAATCATCACCTTCTATAGACCTTTTCCATTAAGATAAGTAAATCAAAACTGTACATAGTATTTCAAGTAAGGCCTAACTTGTCGTATTTATATAGAAATAAATACCTCTTTTTACATGTAATCAATATATATCTAAAAATACACCCTAAAATTTTGTTAGTTTTACTACTAGCAACGGAGTACTGTCTCGATCCCTTTCGTAACATATCCACCACTATGCTAAGATAATTTTCTTATGTCAGACCTCCGTATATATTAAACGTGTGATTTGTCATAGACAACAGTGCTTAACATAATTATAAAAGATCCCCGCCTGGAAAAGCGACACAAGTCTCGTGTTAACAGCCAAGACGAATCCGTTCAACTACCACATACCCCAAACAGCTGGAGAATGAAACGAGCATTGTAATATATTGTTATACTGTATTGTTATACTGTAATTCCATACATAGATATGACGGTCAAGTTTTCAGAACTCTTGAAATGGGCGCTAGGAAACAGTGGAAAGCATGGAGGAAGTTTTTGTGTACTTTTGACATGACAGTCCTTACGATGAAGTTTTTTGTTTTTGTTTTTTGCAATATAAGTTACGTGGCAAGGCTGTTTTTAAGATGTACAGTCGTCGGATTGAGCGTGACCGGACATAGACTACAATGACGTGGTGAGGCTCCAAAATTGTTTTAACACGACATAATCAACCTCTGTGTGATTAAGGATCACTTATATATAGTCATGGTACAGCAAGCAAACCAGAACAATGTTATATATATTCATGGTGCAGCAAACAAACCAGAACAAACTTATATATATATTCATGGTACAGCAAACAAACCAGAACAATGTTATATATATTCATGGTACAGCAAACAAACCAGAACAAACTTATATATATATTCATGGTGCAGCAAACAAACCAGAACAATGTTATATATATTCATGGTGCAGCAAACAAACCAGAACAAACTTATATATATATATTCATGGTGCAGCAAACAAACCAGAACAATGTTATATTTGAAGATGGATTTATACAAATCGACAGCATTTTGTGTCTGTGGTTATATTTCAGATAATTTTTAATTTCACTTTTTAATTTAAAAACTCTACATCCGTTTGTCGTTTTACACCTAGACGACTTTAATGTTTCCGTAAATTATAATCCAACCCGCAAATTATAACTAATTATTTCATCACCTTTTTATTTATTATTTATTAAAGTTCTATTGATCTCTAATAATTCATACGAGCATATACACATTCTTTGGCAACCACTTTTTATCTCATTGAAACCTCAGTTCCATTGGCGTTAGTTGTTTTTTAATTAACACTGAAAATTGGCCTCATTCAAACAAGCCACCAGCAACTGTCTGCATTTTCCGTATGCCAGGTATTAGTTTGTGTCCATAGTCACAGTCTCATTCATCATTATTAATTAACGTGTTAGTTATTTTTGAAGTGTCCACCTATCGGCGGATGATTACATCTGTATCACAAGTGCAAATCCAAATAATAAAAAACAGTTAACAAGAAGAAAAATTCACTAACTTCTCGCACTTGTTTTAATACCAGTAATTTCTCCACCTACCCCAAATACACAGTATATAATTTTGATATAAAATAATTTCATTGCAGAGGGCGCCATATAGTATGCATAAAGTGGGAAAATGGGAAATGGGTAAAAACTACGTCAACATCAAATTCATCGTTTATGTACCAAACAAAGAAACCACGTGGGAAAGTTGCTTGTAGTATATTAAGGTTTGAGAGCGAATATCAATCATTCATTAATGGAGGAAATGATTAGACTCAATATACTTCGTGAGTTTCGTATTCGTTCTTCATAAGTGATTCATCAGGTGGAAAACGTAGTTTTATAATAAACATTAAAAACACACCTAATTACGAACGTCTCGGAATTGCTTCAATTCCATCATCAGCGTTTAAACCTCAAAAAGTTAATTTCCAATATTATAACTACAAAGCATAATATTCGCTATTGAACGAGTATTTTGTTTATACCATCAAAAGTTTAGAAATAAATACAGATTTATACGGTAACGATATAATGGAATGTACGATAAAATATGCGGCATACACATGTTTAATAAATAACATTATTATAAAATATGCAGCATACACATGTTTAATAAATAACATTATTATAAAATATGCAGCATACACATGTTTAATAAATAACATTATTATAAAATATGTGGCATACATATGTTTAATAAATAACATTATTATAAAATATGCGGCATACACATGTTTAATAAATAACATTATTATGAAATATGCGGCATACACATGTTTAATAAATAACATTATTATAAAATATGTGGCATACATATGTTTAATAAATAACATTATTATAAAATATGCGGCATACACATGTTTAATAAATAGCAT